ATTTTTAACGTCTCCCTGTGAGATTTTCTGTGTGCATAGTATAAGACATCAGATTATTTCAAGGAATGTCCGATTAGGAAGAGGCTTCATGGGCTGGGTAGATGGCTCAATGGGTAAAATGTTTGTTGTTAAATATAAGAGTTGAGCTCAGATCCCAGGGTCCCTGTAAAACCTGTATGGTAGCCTTTGTCTGTAACCCCAATGTCTATATAGTGGGATAGAAGACAGAGATGAGAGAATGAATCCCTCATTGCATGTGTGTGAGATATTCTAGCATAGCATGAATAACAAGATGTACAGCATAGCTATAGATGTACATAGCATGAACAGCAAGAGATCTGTCTCAACAAAGGTGGAAGTTAAGGAGCAGAGTCTGGCTCCTGAGGTTGTCCTCTAATCTCCATGCTGAGGCATGTGTGCTTCCACACTTACACACATGTTCATAAGCCTATCATTCAAACTCTACCTCCACATACATAGATAGAACAAAGGGTGCATAGTAACCAAAAAAATCAGGAAATTAGGAGGTTAATGCGTCCTAGCCTAACAAATGTTAATGTATCCAATAAATATATTGTATAATTTAATATGCTTGAAAAATTCTATAAATATGTTTCTTTGTCATGATTCAGTGTTATATTTAGTAATTCTAATTCACATACAAACTGAACAAGTTTTAGATGTAATGGTTTCTGTTATTATTATGTCTTGTTAAGGAAAAAAGAAACAGCATATGCGCATCCAGAAGAGTGACAGGAATTGAATTTCACACATCAGTTTGTGGAATCATATGTAGGAATAGCAGTGATGCTGGTGTTGCCGGATCAATGAAAATAGAGGTAGAATGAGTAGGGACTCAACTGGTTTGCCAAGTCGCCTGCTTCTGGTTCTTAGTTTCTTCATGCTAGAACTAGTTCATGAACAGGAGACAAGACAGATGATTAGAACTTTGTCTACCTCAGAGTCTGATCATATTATCACCTATTGGCTGTGCTGGGTAGTGTTTCGCCTTTTTCAGTTTATTTTAGCTTTGTAGAAAGTTTAGGTCATTGCCTGTTGGCTTCCTGGTTCTCGATATTGATTGTAATGGGATGGAGGGGATTCTTTCTTTATGTAGACTAAAAGAAAAGTATTTTTTACTTCCAAGATGATTACATACAAAGAAATGAATATTCTAAATGGTAATGAAGATGAGATACATAAGGTGTACTGCATTTTTATGAAGTAGCCTCAGATACTTTTCCTGGATGCTTGACCTGGGCTATAGGGACTCTCCTGTGTTATTTTCAGCTCTTGAGTTTCAAGTGGTAAAGTTGGTTCTCAGAAATGAAGTAACCAAAGTGAATAGTTTCCTAGACTGGGAAGATGTTTTTACTCAGGTAATGACCTCAGGACAATTAGTTGTGTGATAAAGGAGTAGTTTAATGATCTTTGAATTTGCATTTTTGTTAGATATAGATGTGAGAGAAAATGTTTTTGTCTTTCTCCCATTATCCTCTCTGGTCCTCCTCTCTTTATATCTCTTTCTGTACAACATGCTCCTTTGTTTATTTTTATATGGCATGGTATGATGTTATGTAATGTGTTTATTTAAAATGTAGATTCTGCATACGAGAAAAAGCAACTATGTATGTTTTTCTGAGTCTCCATTATTTACTTAATATTACTATCTCAGTTTTATCTATTTTCTTGCAGGTATCATTCTTTATTTCTTTATTACAGAATAAATTCCATTGTGTTTATATACCATGTTATCTTTAATTAATTGATCAGTTCATTCATCAGTTCATCAAACCATCAATATAGATGTACAAGTGTTTCTGTGGAATACTGATTCAAGGTTACTTCAGTATTCAAACATGGATGATACTGAAGGATCACATGATTGGTCAATTTTTAGTGGTGTATTTTTAATCTCCATACTGAACTACACTCTAAATACACTAGTTCAAATTTCCAACAATCGTGTATTAGGGTCCTTTGATCCTTGTCAGCATTGGTTTTAGTAATACCCATTTTCAGTTGGGTCAGAGGGAACCTCAGTGTAGTTTTAATTTTTATGTCCCTCATGCATAGAGAAGGTAATTTTTTATAAGATTATTGGGAATTTGTGTTTATTCCTTTAAAATCTGGTTGATCAGTTCAATTTCCCTTTCATTGATTGGATACTTTTTTGGGGCTTAATTTATTGAACTTCTAAAATATTTTGAATATTAATTGCCTATCAGATGTACAGTTGGGGAAGATTTTCTCTCACTCTCTCTGCTGCCCCTTCACTCTGCCAATTACTTTCCTTGCTTTTTAAATTTCATCCAATTCCATTTGTTTGTTCTTACCATCACTTTCTAGGCTATTTAAGTCCTTGAGCCCTTACTTTTAACTACTATTGCAATATTTTCCTATGGTTTTTATATATAGCAAGCAATAAGTATCTTCCAGAGTACTGGCTTTAATTTGCACTGGCCTTCAAATGTTTTGTTTTCTCTTGATTAGCCATTATTTGCTTCCAAATCTTGAAATAGATCTCATACTCTTCTGGATTTTAGTTTGTGTTCATAGGTCTGATATTATTCTGATGGCTTTACCTATATAAGTGAATTTACAGCTTTCTTTCTCTTGGAGCTTTCACTTCTGTTGTTTTGCCATCTCAGTTATAGTCTGTCATAGTGAGGTTCTTGTTTGTTAATGCTTACTTGAGGTTTTAAATGTACTTGTATTTAAATGTTCTAGATTTGGGTAATTTTCTTCTATAATTTTATTGATTAGGCTTCCGGTGTCTTTAGAACTGATCTCAGTTCCTTCTGTCTCATGGTTTCTTAATTTCTGGAATGTTATGGTCATTCTTATTTGCTTTTCTTCATTCATATATAAATGTATTTTCTCAACTGTGTCATCTATCCATAATATTCTATATTCAGCTTAATCTAGCCTGCTATATGGAGTTTTTACTGTGAAATTTTATTTGATTACTTGAGTGTTTCTTTTCCAACATTTCAATTTGCTTTTTAATTTTCAAAATTTATATACTCCACAAATTTATGCATGTCATATAGATGATAATCAAGGATTGAAAGGTATGTAACTGCTCTACAAAAATGTGAAGAAAAATTGATTAACAAGTATAAAAATAAAAATGTAAATGTTTTTTTAAATAACAAATTCAAGCACTACTAAAATATATTAATATTACAAAGAGAAAAACACATTATGAAAGAAAATACAAAGCATTATTGAGCTTCTTTCTGTGCCTTGTAAAGTTGTATTTGACTAGGTGGTTTGGGATCACTTGAAACTAGAATCTCTTACCTTTCCTACCACTTAGACTTCCTTGAAGTTCTTCAGTGTTAAGTGCAATAAACTCACCAGAGCATTTCCACTTGTGTGTGTGTGTGTGTGTGTGTGTGTGTGTGTGTGTGTGTGTGTGTACCAGGAGTGGCCTCTACTGGCTACACTTAACATTGCAGCATGGAGCCTGGCAGGACTTTCCCTGTTCAGGACTCCCTAGCTTGTACACTTCAGGAATGACTAACTTATTTATCTCAAGTTAAAAATCTGAAGAAGATGAAGCTAAATGGTTTGAAGAGGAATAACAGAATATATATAATGTTACAAAAATATCAATTAACACAGAGGTTCTACTTAGGTGAGCTAAAGGAGGCTAATAAAGAAGAAATCACATAGGAGTAAATTTGTATGTGTTAGGTTGTTTAGAATCAATTGTTATTCATTTATTTTTTCTTATTCTTTACATTGAATGCAAGTTGACTTTCTTAGAAATAGATCTATTTAGAGAAAAATTTTAAAAACAAAACCCCAAGTTTAAAGTATTTATGTTCAGTTGTAATAGATGTTTAACATTTTTTGTTAGAATTTTCAGAACAATAGATTTAATGATCATTTAAATTTCCATTTGAATTGAAATATTTTTCATGCTCATTTTTATAGCTCTAATTAAATGGAGCTATTATATAAGTATGTTTTTCTTGTGTATTATGCCAAAGACAACTTCCTAATGGTCATTGATGCTGCTTAAAATTATGTAAGAAATGTAAAAACTGCAAATATTCTAAATTTAGGTTCAAAATAAATGAATAAATAAAAGTATTCTTTGTATGTTTCTTGTAATCCATGATTCAAAGAATGCAAAACTTAAAATGCTCTCTGTGTTGAGGTCATTCAAGCTAAACATAAACACTTTCACAGGGCATATGTCTATTTTATTTACCATTACTATCTGCATATCTGAACGGGATCCCTGAGTTGTCCCAGCTGAAATGAGCACTATCATGCTGTGAAGTATGTATAATTATCTACTTTGGTCAAGATGTGGTCCCTTTTGGGTGCAATTCCTCCTGAAAGGCAGTCTAATGCATCATGAATCATTCTCCTGGGGACAGTTTTCTCTTCTGGCTCAGCCTGTAACCTCAGCTTTTCCTTCTCCAAATACAAGATTCCTGAGGAAAACCAATTTCTTAAGACCCACTATTTCAATAGCCTGATAACCCAGGAGGGACAAAAGCATCTTTTGTAGAATATCCTATATCTTTCAAGGCCTGTAATGATGGCTCTTTGTTTCTTGTGTTCTGTGATCAATTAGACACTTCATCATAGTAACAAGCTTTGAAAATTAAGCACACATAATCTTTAGGGAGGGGATTAGCTCAGGGAAGCACGGGCCCATACCTGCACCCAGGAACAGGACATAAATAACAATAGGTGATAGAAGCTGAGTCACCTTAAGCTGGCATGCCCAGGCTAGCATGCACTGTGAACTTTTCTAATTTATGGGTAATTAAAATGCTGTGAATATTTTTGACCCTTCTGCAGTTTAGATGGAAACCCGAGGAAAATGGGCTCTTGAGAAAAGCGGGCCTCTTTCCTAGAAGTGCCCGCCCTGGAGGACTGAGGCCAAGTGTTATGAAGGAGAGGAGAAATAAAAGTCCCTGCCTGCCAGGCCCCAGGCTTTACTGCTGGCCTCAGCCTGCTCTTATTATGAAGACAATTTTTATTTCCTCGTTTTCGAAAATGAAACTTGGCTCATCTCCCTATTGTACATTCTTCACTTTGGATTGGAGAAGAAGCAAGACTGAAGCTGGAATTGAGATCAGTGGAAACTGGAGACCTCTCCCAGGACGTCTGGTGCTCAACACAGGTCCACACTTTTTAGCTAAGGGTACAGTGAGGTATTCTCCTCCTCCCTAGCCCATCCGTGGCAAGGACTCTGCTTCTGTTTGCCACCTGCATCTTCTTATTTCTTTCATTTATCTTAAGGGTGCTGAAAATTCCCCCTGTTGCCTTTTCTGCTATAAGAATTCCTTAGATCAAATGGCTCTTCTCTGTCCACTCCCTCTTATCTGTCTGCCACACTTCTACCACTGGCTTAGTTGCCACTGCCACCCATCCTTTAGGTTTCATTCTTTTCTTTGATCTGTGGCTTGTTGCATCTGTGACCAATATTGAAACTTGGAATGGTCCAGGACCGTGCCTTCCTCCTTTTCCTACAGTTTTGCCCAGACGAAACCCCTTTGCTTCCTCTCACTTGTCCTGGAAAGACACTGGAGTCCCCTGGCTGGTTATTCTGATGTGACACTTGGATGTCTGGGGAAGCTGCAAGATTTTACGGATGAATCTAGAGGATCTTTGTTCTGAGGGATGAAGAAACTGATTTTTTTTTAACCAAGCAGCTTTCTCTTATTATGCAACCCTGGTATAGCCTTGGAAAACATGAAAATTTTTGACAGGTGTTGACTGTTAACAGTCCTTATCCCTTATAAAGGGATCCTTGCTCCCTTTGCTTGGATTCTTTGGGTTGTCTTTTAAAAATATTGTGTTTAAATTGTTATTGTTATTATTATGATTATGATGATTATAATTATTTGGTTGTGTGTGTGTGTGTGTGTGTGTGTGTGCATAATGTTTTGGGGTGTTGCATGTCTGGCCTGCACGGAGAAGTCAAAAGACAGTTCAGCAGATGGCTTTCTGCTTCCACTTTTATGTAAGTTCTTGGGCATTACCTTATGTCTTTAGACTTGCACAGAAAGTACCTTATAGGCTAAACCACCTCATAGGTCCAAATAAAATGTTTTCTTTCTTTTTTACAATAATAGGGATTGAACCCAGGGCTTTGTACATATGAGACATGCACATTTCCACCGAGTCATGCTCCAGGCTTGTGTGTATTCTTCAAAGATCCTATATGAACTCCTTTCCCCTAAACAAAGCAGAGACTCTCTTTGATTCTGTTGTTTGATGACAGACGCCGGCCATGTTTTCAGGAAACCAGCAAGTTCAAACAACACAAAACGTGGCCACAATTATCTAGGAGAAACTCCTTAATTGTGGAGTGTAGGACTGATGAATATCTGGGAGGATAGCCCAAGTGTAAAGGGAGAAACCTGAGAATGGTGGGCATCTGGCAAAGATGACTCAGAGACTGGTCACGTCAATCTCTGAGGAAGAGTACCTGGTGATACCTAAAGGGATACAGGACTGCCCCCTGGAGGCTAGACCATCTATAGGAAAGTGTGCACATCCAACCATGGTTGGGGAATAGCCTGAGTACACAGAGGGACCCCTCATCTGAGATGCTACTTGCCTTTCTGGTTTATGTTCCCTCTGTTTGTAGATTGGGAATCAGGCCCATCTTCATGTCATCAGATGCCCCCATCCTGGGCTGCATCCTAAAAAAACTGGGACAATTTAAACCCAGACATTTTAAAAAGGAGGCCATATATTTTTTTTTGCAATAAAACCTGACTCTACTATAAGCAAGGGGTGGAAAGACTTGATCTCTGGATGGGAGCATAAATCCAGATTCCATACTACAGTTATTGACATGCTCTTTAGGATAAAAAAATGCAATGAGATCCTTTATGTTTAAGACTTTCATGCTAATTACATCACTGTCCTCCTGCATGATCTACTTTACAGGCGAAAAAAGAAAAAAGGAGCAAAATTTCCTTTGTTCATTTGTGTATCAGTAAAGGATAATTTCAGCTTCTGCAAAAACTGCAAATTAGATCCCAATTCATGTGAGCCAATCTGCTTTTGCACTTCAGAATTACTATGGATTCAAAAATTCCGAGGGGAAAGAAATTTAGTACAATCTGGTCTTATTGCAACATGGAGATCATTAAATAATTTCATATTTGAAAATGTCATGTGATAGCCCTTCAACATCGTATCCTCTTATTTATGAATGACAGAGGTGATCACTCTGAGGGAGAAAGGCCTATTTTCTGTTGGTCTTCAATTTGTAGTCTCTCACCATACTTCCCTGGAACAGCACTTTCTGTCTCTCGAACTGCAGCTGCAAGGAGAGCATGCAAATGGTTTTGGCTCTTTGTGTGTTTTCTTTCTTGCTTTTTCTTTCTTGATAGATCACTGTTCAAGGCCCTTGAAAGCTCCTATCAGGTCCAGGCCTTGGCAGAATGTAACATTCAAAACTCCTAGAATCATATGAGACCAAGAAAAAATATTTAAAAGAAAATTTAAATTATCCAAGCAGATTAAGTCTGCCTAGGATTTGCAACAGACGAGAATCTTACTGTTTAAAAACATGTGGATGGTACCATGGGTTACCTTTAGCTATGAAAATTATTTGTATTCAGTTCCCTTTGAGTAAGTTGGTATAGTTGTTGATGCTACTCTGTTTCAAGTTAAGGAAGGGAATTAGACAGAAAAGGATCAGTAATTAAGAATGAGAGACTATAAGGGAGGATGCCAGTCACAAGGTTTTGTGGAAGAGGGATTTACAGATGGCATGCACATGATAAGTAAAGGTTATTAGAATTTCTAAGGTCAGAATTCAGTGTTTAACTCAGTGTAAAAGTATCTAGTTTGTATCATTCATAAGGGCTGGGTTAGAGAAAAATGTATGTTTAATCAAGATTATTATATTTTTGGTTAATTTGTTTAATATCTGTTCTTGTCTAAGCTTGGAGTGTCACAGAAAAGTTAGAGTTTAAAATATCATCTCTTACCACAAAAAATTGACAAAACTTTCCTTGTGGGTGTTTAAAACCAAAGTTTCAAGGCTTAGCCAACGAGAATGCAAGGTCTAGAAGGATAGCCAGTATTTTGTCTCTTACCTTTCAAAGTCAGTTTAAAAAAGGGAATCCTTCTAAATGTTTTGCTGCTCTGGTAAGTCACCTGTCATCTTAATTGGAAAGGCCTTAGAATTCCAAATACTGAACTCTAAGCAGCACATATTCTTCAAATGTAGTCAGAAAAAATAGAACCTTGTCTGCGCTTCTGTGGTAAGCCACATGGTCTGCAAGAATCTGACCCGTTCTTACAGATGGTACACTTGGTAGGTAGGGGAGAATAAAAAAAAATGGAAAGCCCCTAAAAATTAGCCAATTTTTAAATTTTAAATACATGTTTTCATTTATTTAAAAACCAACTGTAGTTTCCCGTCTCTCCTTTCCTGCCAGTGCCCTCCACCTGCTTCCCATCTACCCTTTTCCAATCCCATCCCTCCTCTGTCTCCATTCAGAAAAGGGTAGGCTTCCTATGGGCTTAGACAAAGCGTGGCACATGAGGCAGGACCCGGTTCTTCTCCTTGCATCAAGGTTGGACAAAGTAATCCAGAACGAGGAACAGGTTCTCAAAAGCCAGCTAAGCTCCAAGGACAGGTCCTGATCTCACTGCTAGGAGCCTTACAAAGAGAACAAGCTACACAGCTGTCACACACATGCAGAGGGCCTAGTTTAGCCAGGAAACCACTGTGTCCTCAAACACATATACAGACAGTCACTCAGGTGACTGGTTTTGGTGGGTACAAAGGGACAATATTCAAAAGGATGTCAAACTCCAAGGAATAATAACTGAATCCTCAGCACAGGATAAAACCTTATTTTTCAGAAAGGCTCAGAATGAGAAACAAGAGAATCACTGCAGCAATAAACCAATTATCCACTTGTGCTTTCCGTTCAGAACTCCTGATAGTGAAATTATCCTTATGGGAGGTGTCCTGATGACACAATCACTCTTAACCTCTGGCCTCTCCAGATAATCCTTTCTTGACTCCCATAAAAATATTTCCAGATTCTTTTCTAACATAAGTAAACAGGTGTGACCCTGGTGAGCCTCTCATTTCCCACGATGCTGAACATTTTTTTTATTATTTTAATTTAATTTAATTTAAATTAGAAACAAGTTTGCTTCACATGTCAATCACAGCTCCCTCTCCCTCCCCTCATCTCCCGCCCCCTTCAAACCTACCCCAACCTCTCCTCCAATTCCCACTCCACTTTCCAAGGAGGGTGAGGCCCTTCATGAGGGATCTCAAAAGTCTGTCATATGATCTGGGACAAGGCCTAGGCCCTTCCCCATCTGTCCTGGCAGAGACAGCATCCCTCCTCTTGGAATGGGCTCCTAAAGTCCATCTGGATGACAGGGCTAAATGCTGATATATTGCCTGAGGACCCAAAGGATGCTGAGGCCTCCTCACTGATACCCACGTTCAGGGGAACTGGATCAGTCCCATGCTGGCCTCTCAGCTATCAGTATGGGGTCTATGAGTTCCCCCTTTTTCAGGTCAGCTGTTTCTCTGGGTTTCACCCAACAAGTCGTAACCCCTTTGCGCATCACTCCTCTCTCTCTGCAACTGGGTTCCATGAGTTCAGTTCAGTGTTTAGCTGTGGGTGTCTGCCTCCTCCTCACTTCAGCCACTGGATGAAAGCTCTAGGATTGTATACAAAGAAGTTGTCAATCACATTATCAGGGAAGGGCATTTAAGGTAGCCTCTCTAGTATTGGTTAGATTGCCAGCTGGTGTCATCCTTGTAGGCCTCTGGACATCTCACTGGTACCAGATCTCTCTTTAAACCTATAATGGCTCCTTCTATTATGGTATCTCTAATCCTTCTCTCCTCTATTCTTCCCCCTACTCAACTATCCTGCTCCCCCATTTTCAGTCCTTACTCTTCATTTAATGGGAAACCAAGTTTGTTTCAGAATCTAATAGTTTACTTTTCAAATAGTTATGCAAAATAAATTGCTTCACCTGTCCTGGTTCAGATCCAGTTACATCATAGCTTGCACTGGACCAAGTGAGACAAGTCTTCCTTAGGAATTTCAAATAAAATATACATGTTTCTTATACCAACAGTCTCCTACAACATATTGCTCATGGTTTGATATTTGTCTTGTGTCTTTGGTTCTTGTTCTCTTAGCATCCTGGTAAAACTGATGTCTTCAGGACTCCACATCCCAAACTTTAGCAGATGGTGAACAAATGATGCTAATCCATGACCAGTATTTGTTTTAAAGAGTCCCTGAACTTCTTTCCTAGGAGGAATCTATGATCCCTCACCTGGATGTTCCTTAAGACAATTCCCTCACCCATAAAGAAATAGCCAGAAGCCACTTCCCTTGTCCCTGAAAGATTTCAAGGGGTGAATGTTGAGCAGGAGGTTAGCTGACCAATGGTCTCGACAATCAGGATATAAACAGTAATAGGAGACCCCTGAGTCTTAGGTACAGGTGTTGTGTTGTAGATGTATCAGTTGGGACTGGACTCCACAAATGTGCTTTTTGGTTAATTGTGATTTTCTATAATGATCTATGCCTGCTGCAAAGAGAATTTTTCTTGATGAGTAGTGAGGATTACACTTATCTTTGAATATAAGGACAAATATTTATAATGTAGTTAGGGATAATAATGGCTTGATAATGGAATGGTTATAGGTTCTTCCCCAAAATCCATGATTTCACTAGTCCTGGGTAGCTGGTTAGGTTTTCAATACCAGGACTGTTTTCCCCATTGTTGAGTAGGCCTTAAGTCCAATTAGTCAGGTGTTAACACCAAATATGTATGCCGCTACAGCACACTTGTAGTTATTGTACCACAGTAGTGGTCATTTTAATTGGGACAACTCAGGACACTCAGTAGACTGTGTAGATGGTGTAGGTGGATGAAATAGGATGCAACAATATTTGTCAGTATTCATTCTCAGTAGGCCAGTAGGAGGACTCCCAAATAGGACACAAAGAACAACAGGCAGGAGTGACTGATTCTACCTGGATAAACTCAAACTGGCCTCAGGAATTTCCTCACATGGGAGTGTGTACCCACTGCTATTACCCATTTTCTTGTTAACTTTGGGGTTATTTAAACTTCTTTTCCTACTTGTTAGATTGAATTTGGGGTAAAATCTAAGTGATGCAGTCTCCTTTCCTTAAAGTGCCCACACTGAGGGAAATGTAGGTGAAGATATAATAGAGAGGAGAGTGTGCCTGTCAGATCAAGGCCTCTGTTGCCCAGCTTGGTCTGCTCTTAATTTGAAATCTATTCTTGTTTCCTTGTTTACTAAAATTCAGTGCTACCCTTCTGGCTCAATTGCTGTGCTGTATTTGAAGTCTTTTAGAGCCAAAGAACTAATAGTGCTACTGAGCTTGAGACTAGGGGAGACTTAAGACATCTCATAACCACAAGGGGATAGGTTTCTATGTAGAAACAATCAGCAATTGTTCATGTAACATTTTGTAATAGTTTAGCATAAAGAAAAATTTTACTGAAACAAACTATGATTCACTACAGAGTTATCAATATATGATAACTTTAAATTACATACCTCCTTTTTCTATTGGTTAACTGTTAAACAGATAATGTCACTGGTTAACCATTAGACAGGCAGAAGTATTATTTAATCATTAACCAGACAGTAACACTGGTTAGCTATTAGGGAGGGGTGTGCCTATGGTTATCCATTAGCCAAGAAGTTGATGTATGGCCTCTATATGTTCATTGTTCCACAAAAGGTGCAGGAGAAACAGAACCTCCTGAGTCAGAAGAGTGATAAGCAATGAGTTCCAAGCAGCAACTCGTGAAGCTAAACGATGGTCACTTCATTCCAGCACTGGGCTTTGGCACATATAAACCTGAAGAGGTAAGAACAGTGGTGCTGTGTTGGAGGACTCAAAATAAAATAGACTAAGGGAGGGTGCAAAAGATAAAGCTGTCAAGTCACCCACTTCCCAAGTGACTCTGCAGAACTCACCTGGTTCTCTTTCTCTAGATTAGAGCTATTCTGTGTACAAGAAGATAGTTTGGTTTTTATCTGAGTCAGTTTCTGATTATACAATCACTTGTCAGTTGCTTCAGTATTTCTTGGCTTTGTAGAAGATATCAAAGTCACCAGCCTGAATACTGTCAGCTTCCTTGATTTAAAGCTGATTGGAAGAATGGAAGTTTCCCTTTGTCAGTTGTATATTCAGGGTATCTCCCCCATATTAAAAATGCAAGACTTAAGGAAATCAACATGTTGAATGTTTTCAGAGATGAAAAACATGAGACAAATGTTTAAAGACTTCTGCAGCTCTGTTTCTGGGAATGGTCAGTAAATGCTGCACTTGAGTTAAGTAAAACATCCAATGTACCCCTCTTAACCAGGGAGTGAGTGGACACTACAACATTATGATAGTACAAATTTTGTAAAATGCTGATCTTTGCTAATACATATCTGGTACATAGCAAAGTAATCCAGAGATTTCTCTGAAATGAAGTGACCAAGAAGTGCAATTTACGAACCTGGAAGGAATTTCATATTTTAAATCCTGAAATTATAAGATTGAGTGAATTATTTTTTAAACGTTGAGTGCATGTATTTTTATCTGTAAGATTCACAAAGATATTTATGGAGTGCCAAAGAGCCATACTTCCTGGAATACAACTAACCATGTCAGCAATATCCAAAACACGAAAGTGAAGATCTGGGCTTAACTACTTAGTAGGATAAAGTGGCAAAAAGAAGAGAAGGCAAGGGGGCTGGAGAGGTGGTCAGTGGTTGAAGGGCATCTGTTATTCTTTCAGGGACCCAGATGTTGTTTCCATCAGCCACACGGCAGTTCACAACCACTCCTGTGCTGGTGATAAGACTGCCTTTTCTGTCCTCCACAGGCACTTCACGGGTGTGATGCACAGACATACATGCAGGCAAACATTCTGACATAAAATTAGTAACAAAAGCAGTGTAAAAAAGAAAGAGAAGGCAAGTGCCAAGATCACTCCAGAAACCACAGCCTGAGTAGCCCTGTAGCTCAAAAAGCAGGGCAGGCTTCAGGGCTCAATGCTAAGAGCCACCATTTCATTTACTGTAATTTGGTCATGAAAAGAATTTTCTTTTTTCTTTTACTTTTTTAAAAATTTGGCCTGACATGGGGTCTTACTGTGTAGACCTGGGCCTGGAATTTGCTATATAGGCGACACAGACCTGGAATTCAGAGATCTTCCTGCCTCTGCTACAGAAATGCTGGAATTAAAGCTATGTGTACCATGTCGGGTTCTGTTGTTTTTAAAATAATGCAAAAGTAGTTTGACATAATACTCTATCCTTTAACACACAAAAGTTCACAGAATTATCCAAGTCTGGCAGAGTAGACAATAATCTTAACTTTAAGTATAGTTATATTTTTACTAAACAAAGTAAATTTTGCTTTAAAGTTGATAACCCAACATGAAAAAAATCTCTTATAAAATGAGGAGCAAACAGCTTTATATACAGATGATATTTCCCATATATTGTCACAATTTGATGCACAAAAAGAACTCAGTATTTTCTAGGAGTCTTCACTGGGGCAAGACTCATAATGCTGCATGAATTTGTATTTCTTTTCTGTTTTGTACCAAGAACCTTTCTCCTGTGTTGATTGTAGTTGTGAACCTGCTATATAAATTGTAACAGGACTGTTCCTATATGCTCTGTTCTGTAAGCCCTTCTAGAATATGGACTGAATTTTAGGTCTATTTGAGGTCCTCTGGTGCAAATGTTTTACCATGACTGAGAGTGTATGAAGAAGTTATGGGATATGAAGTTATAGTTATTTTCCAGGAGGGCCCCAGTGAAACTAAGTTGGGACCTATCAACCCATATGCTCAACTAACCTAAAATATGGGAAAGGCAAGTCTCCTGAAATCACCTCTGAATGAGTGATCTTCGAAGTTACTGCTTGTGGTTTTACAGGAAGTGAAATTTCAGTGGCAAGGAAACCAGTCATTTTAGGTAGTAAAGTGGTGTGATGATGACATAGGAATATAAAATTCCTCCTTTTGTAGAGAACTATCCATTAGATATATTTGAACTACCTCTCTGATGTGTCTTTAAATACTGCTTTTGGTTCCTTCTTAGGTTCCCGAAAATAAGCCACTGGAGGCTATAAATTTAGCTATCGAGGCTGGGTTCCGCCATATTGATACTGCTTATGTGTATCAAACAGAAAAGGATGTAGGGCAGGCTATTCAAAGCAAGATTGCAGCTGGTCTTGTGAAGAGAGACGACATATTTGTCACTACAAAGGTATTGTGTATGTAGTGCTCAGGTGTACAGATGAATTGAAATGTGATATAAGCAAATGCTTATTTGATGACTCAATTTATTAATTGATAAAATATATATAGTGGTAAGCTTTTATTTACATATAATTTGTAGATGAGTTCCAGCATGAAAAACAGAAAAAGATTATGATGTCTGCAAACATATCACTCTATCTTCCTGAGCCTCAACTAAAATTAGTGTATTTTAACACGGGATGTGAATTCAGGTGAAACTATGAAACTGTGGCTTTATGTATCTCCTTGATAGCCATGTAAAATCTGTTATATCCCAAATACTGACTTTTATCTATAATTACTGAAAAGCAGAAAAAGAGAACTTTCATATTAAAGGGTAAATTACTTTTATTATTGTCCATCATATTAAAATGTCATCTGTTGCTTCTGTACAATTAATTATATAAACAAAGGGATGCTACCTCTCTAATGATAAGAATGAATCAAATAATTTGATTAATAATTTCTTGGAACCTCTGTGAGATATAATTCAGAGACTGAATATTATTATTAGTAGATAGGAGTTTTATTTTTTGAGAATTTTTGCTTTTGTTCTTGAAGGATTGAAAACAAACTTATGATCATATTCATATGTGTAAGTCAGATTAGTGGAAGCCATAGAAGAAAGGGACTTTAAAGTCTTATGATTATAAGCTTCTATATAGTATGAATGTATCAGTATTATGTAAGATAAGGCCTCCATATTTGGATAATTAACTAATCCAGGATTACTTCCATTCTTTCATGTAAATAGCTTTGGTGTACTTTCCTTAGACCAGAGCTGGTTCAATCTAGCTTGGAAAAATCATTGAAAAATCTTCAACTGGATTATGTTGACCTCTATATTATTCATTACCCGATTTCGATGAAGGTAAGCAATTTGAATGATCAGCCTTAATCAACTATGACAAGGACATAGTAATCATTTTTCTGGATGATCATGATAAAGTTCCATTATATTTTTCTGTAAAACCAATTTTTGTGCTCCATAATCTAATCAAAGTAGGTTTTACAAATGGCCATAAAATAGGATGCCCAAGAAATTGCTAGAATAAGAGAGTCAATAAATAATCTTCAAATTTTCACTATTTATGTATTCGTTATATTACATTAGTAGGTACTTGGATTTTATTCCAGCATTTTTTCTTGTGCTACTAAGACAGTTTAAGCTTTCTGGCTATTACCTCCTTATAGTATCTTTGAGTTTTCCACCATCAAAACTAGTTTTGCGTATAGCCTTGGTTGATCATCTTTAGGAGACATAGTTTCCCTTTGCTCAAATATACCCAGATATTAAAAGACCACTGATTGGCCTGTGTCAGGATGAAATCCTTTATTACTATCAAGATTGTATGTCTACTGAGTTTCTCAGTGAAAGAAAAATATCTCACCAGAAATGTGAATAAGAAGTGCCAAAATGATGGACATCAGCTAGAAGACTCCAAGTACATCTGTGAGAAAACTGTATAATATATATATATATGCATATATGTATATATGTATATATATGCATATATAGTTCATATTGGAGGCTAATTCAAGTATCTAATAATATTCTTATAATTTCACATACAAATCACCTTGTAAATATATGTAGAATGATGCTCTACTTAATACACATTTAGTGTTCTACTTCTAGCTATTCCTATTAGAGTCTCGTGTTTATTAAGATCACTGTGAAAACTGCTTCTATTCCAGCCAGGGGAGGATCTGTTTCCAGTAGACGAACATGGGAAAACATTATTGGACACTGTGGATATCTGTGCCACATGGGAGGTGAGCAGTTGAAAGAGTTTCAATGGAGGAGGTGAGAGAGGGAAATCAGGTCATGCTTGAGAAAATGGGGCATATGACTCTGGGTATAGAAATTTATTATGCTTATTGGGTGTGTTACTGGAGTGAAGGGGGGTCATATATTACTACAATATAATAAAGGAAGATGAAAGGACACTTGGGACAATAGGAATGAATGCATCTTGCAAGCATACATATTGTGAAAATCTCTGCTTCTCAGGAATTCCTTATACAGAAGAATTCATTCTTGCCTGTCACTTTTTTTCTCTTTTCTCTTCACTTTTTCTTCATACTCAATTTCAGTCATCATTTGGGCAGTGTCTTTGTAGCACCATTTTTTCAGTGTTAGTATGAAAACAATCAAATTCAGGGTCTTTCACATACTGCTAAGTGGTTTGCCACTGAGCTGTATATCCAGAGATAGATGATATATTGTTCCATCTTTTATTTATTTTTATGTAAAATGACTCTTCACAACTCTTCCATTTATAGGTCATGGAGAAGTGTAAGGATGCAGGATTGGTCAAGTCCATTGGGGTGTCCAACTTTAATAGCAGGCAGCTAGAGAAAATCCTGAATAAACCTGGGCTTAAGTACAAGCCTGTGTGTAACCAGGTGAGAACCCTCACACTACTTTTCTTCTCACATACCTTTCCTTATTTCTGTTCTGATGCCTCCAGGACATCTTCCCCTTCCTTAATTCATCTTATTTTCATGGAAGAGAAGATTCTAAGAGCAGTGTCACTGTAGCAAAGGACATTTGTGATTATAAAATTCAAATTTTGGGCTATTAAATTTTGTGAAAATGAGGCCATACCATGGTGCCCAACTGGTGCAGCATGAGGAGCTTTAAAGTAGTCCAGGAGAAGATGTCATTAGTAGTATTTCAGAACCAAAATAGGCTTATCCATGAGCTGGGAAAAATGTAAGATATCAGACTAGTGAGGTGATGGCAAGTGGACTAATTTATAGTAAGAAGTTCATAAAAACATGAAATGAGCAGGAAACAGAGAGAATTAAAGTGAGAGAGATGAGTAGGCAGCTTCTGAAGTAAAGGAGTTATTCATTTCTCATAGCATGTCTGGTCTTGGGATCTTGAAACAGAGACATAGCTGCAGGAGTGTAAACTTGAAATTCAAAAACTATACCCATTTGACCTATTACCTATTTATGGTGATATTAATGTTGGATAAAATCCACACTCAGATATTGCATGCAGAACATACAATTGATTCTGTGATAAAATTTCTTGGTGAGCTTTTCTCTTTTCCTCATATCCTATAAGAAACTTCAATGCATATATTCTATGAGTGGTCCTATGTTCTCTGTTACAGTTTAACACAATGACCTTTGGATAGGAACTGTAGTGAATGGGCTACTATGGTAATGAAGAATAAATTGGCAGGTAGTTAAAGTATTTCACTATAGTTCAGAATAAAACAGCATCCTACTGAGTCACTAGAATAGGGCAGTGTGCTGGAAATAACAGAAGCATTGCCTGGCATAGGCCCCACCACCACTTCACCAAACTATTTGTTGGAAGGCCTTGCTGGCTGGTCAGAAGTTGTAGTCTATAATGAACTGGAAGCCTTTTCCACAAGCTTGGCACATGGAGACTCCCTACTCAGGAAAACTTCCTGCTCTGTATCTGCCTTTATCTGGAGAATGTCCCTGGGTTCAAAGGACAGACCTTACCTGACAGGCATCTCTAAGTCAGATGCCTGATTTATCTTTAGTTTGACCCTTGGCACAGATTTCTTCTAGAAGACTTTTGCTTGGAGCTCTGCCATAGGACCCTACAGTGACATATGAAACCTTGTGATAGAAAAATGCCACATAATGAAAACTAAGGTTTGTTCACAGGCTCCTCAATTCTATATGTTCCTTATAATTTGGAATAAAGTTGAGCTGATTCACTGAAGTCTGTCTCCATCACACCTATAGCTTTTCTAATCCTGTTCTCCAATTCTGCTCCCTCCATCCTCATGGACCAAAGCAGACAGCCATCTGAAGGAAGAAGTAGAACCACACATCTCCATCCCTCCTTTGTTTCCAATTCAGTTTGTCTTTAGTGTGAAGTCATCTGTACATGTAGGATTTCATGTATCTACAAGGTCTAGAGCTCAGAATTGAGGGAAAAGATGAGGTACTTGTGCTTCTGCAACTAATTTAATTTAGTTACTGTTATTGTCTCCAATGCATTAATTTTTCTGCAAACAGTTTAACTTTATACATTTTTATATCTGAAAATTTCCATTGTGCTTGGAAATCACATATGCTCTATCCTTTTCCTCCGTTGTTAGCAGCAATGTTGTTTCCCTAACTTAGCTGTCATGAACTGGCCTGCTATTTCCTCTGACAGAAATACAGTTTAAGTTATTAAGTTTTTACATAATGACATGAAATTGTGACTTTCCAACATAAATATTATTTATATGTGAGGTTTGACATTAATTTTCTCAAAAATTTCTTATCATAATTTTCATCAAATATCCTGAATAATTTACAGGCTGATGCAGAATATTTCTGCTTCCTAACCTATATCTAAAAATAGTGGAACAAATAAATGTACCCTTATAAGACATATCTCCACATATATGCAATATTTTCAGAAATTTCTGAAGTTACATTTATGTGTGTGTGGATGTGGTTTGTGTATGTGCTTGATTGTGTGTGTGTGTGTGTGTGTGTGTGTGTGTGTGTGTGTAGTACTACAGGGGATAACTTGTGAGTTTCATGGAACAAACTCAGGTCTGACTTGGCAGCAAGCTTCTGAACACCCTGAGCAGTCTCACTGGCTCTATTACTGCAACATTCTTTTTTTTTTTTTTTTTTTTGGGATTTTATAGTTTTTATTTTTGATTGCTCAGTTTGAACTCAGAATCACTATGACTAGGTGATTATGACCTCGACCATCTGATTCTACCAATGAGTGTTAATACCAGGCTTGTACCAACATGCCTGGTTTCTGCACTGTGGATCCAACTCAGACTCCTGCATACTAGACAAGAACGCAAGTACTCACTGACTGAACTACGTTCTTAAAGACTGGTTTCTTTTCTCTTTTAAATTTCTAATAAATTCTTTCTTTTTCTTTTTTTTTTTTTTTAATCATTTTTTATTTTAATTTTAAATAGCTTGTTTCACATGTCAATCCCAGTTCCCTCTCCCTCCCCTCCTCCCGCACTCCCCTTCCACCCTCCCTCCCACCCTATTGCCAAATCCCTCCACATAGGGGATGTCTAGAGTCTATCATTTCACTCTTGGTAGGGTCAAGGCACTCCCCTAAGAGTCCAGGCTGAGAGAGCATCTCTCTTTGTGCCATAGGCACATGAAGACAGATTGTATACCAGGGATAGACACTGATCCACAGCTCAGAGCCCCATAGGTTGCCCAGGCCTTCTCACTGACACTCACATTTGGGGGGTCCAGATCAGTCCCATTCTGGCCTCCCCACTGTCGGTCTGGGGTCCAAGAGCACTCCCCTGTTCAGATCAGCCGTCTCTGCTGGTTTTGCCAGCCCATTCCTTGCCAATTTGCTCATCACTCCTCTCTCTCTGTCACTGGGTTCCTTGGGTTCAGTTCAGTGCTTAGTTGTGTGTTTGCCTCTGCTTCCATCAGTCCCAGGATGAAGGCTCCCGGATAGTTATAGACATCAAGTTCATTATCAGGAATGGGCATTCGAGGTGGTCCTTCCACTATTGCTTAGCTTGCCAATTGATGTTATACCTTTAGATCACTCGAGGTCACTCTGGTGCCTGATCTGTCTTCGATCCTATGATTCCCTCTTCCCCTATTTTACCCCCACCCCCTCAACTTCCTGTTCCCCCATGACCAACTCCCTTCCTCTTTACCCCCTCTACTCTTCCCAGGTCCCACTACCCCCCTCGCCCTGTTCCCCATCCATTCAGAGGATCTTGTCTCCATCCTCTTCTCTTGGGTACTATGCATATATGCATATCTTTTAGGTTCTTTCCTGTTTCCCAGACTCTCTATCTGTGGAAGTGCAGACTGGCACTATCCTGATCCATATTTAAAATCCATATATGAGTGAGTACATACCATGTTTGTCTTTTTGCGACTGGGTTACCTCACTCAGGATGGTTTCTTCCAGTGCTATCCATTTCCCTGCGAATTTCAAGATTCCATTGTTTTTTTCTGCTGAGTAATACTCCATTGTGTAAATGTACCACATTTTCTCTATCCACTCTTCAGTTGAGGGGCATCTAGGTTGCTTCCAGGTTCTGGCTATTACAAACAATGCTGCTATGAACATAGTGGAGCAGATGCCCTTGTTGTATGAACCTGCCTCATTTGGATAAATGCCTAAGAGTGGAATTGCTGGGTCTAGTGGTAGATTAATTCCCATTTTCCTGAGGAATCTCCATACTGATTTCCAAAGAGGCTGTATGAGTCGGCATTCCCACCAGCAATGGAGGAGTGATCCTCTCTCTCCACATCCTCTCCAGCATAAATTGTCTTCGGTGTTTTTGATTCTAGCCATTCTGACAGGAGTAAGATGGTATCTCAGAGTTGTTTTGATTTGCATTTCCCTGATGGCTAAGGATGTTGAGCACTTTCTTAAGTGTCTCTTGGCCATTTTAGCCTCCTCTACTGAGAATTCTCTATTTAGCTCTGTGCCCCACCTTTCAAGTGGATCCTTTGGTGTTTTGGAGACTTGTTTCTTGAGTTCTTTGTAAATTTTGGAGATTAGCCCTCTGTCAGATGTAGGGTTAGTGAATATCTTTTCCCATTCTGTGGCCTGCCTTTTTGTCTTTTTGATTGTGTCCTTTGCCTTACAAAAGCAACATTCTTATGAACTTGTTCAAAGTAGTTTCTTTGAGTGTTCACCTCCAGGGAACTCAGAAACTGTCTCCCAAGAATGAAGATGTTATCAATCATTGTTAGACTTATATTTAGAGAAAGTAACAATAATTCTCTTACAGAATCTGAACCCGTCTGCATTTAAATTTCCCAATGATTTCTGGAAACATCTTCAAGTCATCACTATGTTTTCCCTTTGTAACTCCAATTAGAATTTGAACTTCAAGATTTGTTTCATTGAGTTAGTTTATTGTAAGAATTTTTGTGAGTCATATTAGTAATATGGGTACGAGATTAAGCTTTAATAACACAGATTAAATTAAACTGATAATCTAAATATGTTACATTTTATTGTTCATGTACTTAACTTTAATGCTTCTCTTTTACATAAACATTAGCCTCTTATGTAATCAGATACCTTTGTGTTTGTCTGTCTGTAGGTGGAATGCCATCTTTACCTGAACCAAAGCAAGCTGTTAAACTACTGCATGTCAAAGGACATTGTTCTAGTTGCCTACTGCGCTCTTGGATCTCAGCGACCTAAGCGATGGTAAGGACAGTAGGAAGTTTACTTCAAATACAAGTGCTGGTGAAGTCTTCTCAATACTATAAACTCATGTTTCAGAAGCTCAATTTGAACTTTCCCAGAGAGAGAATTATTTGTATTTTTGAGGAAATCTCCATGATGGAAATGTAGCTGGTCCAAGGACTCCTTAGAAGACTCCTGGTTTTAGAACCTCCTACAAATTCTCAGCTTTTGAAGCTAAAGACATCTGTCCTTATTTCTAGGGTGGACCCAAATTCCCCAGTTCTCTTAAATGATCCAGTTCTTTGTGAAGTGGCAAAAAAGCACAAGCGAAGTCCGGCCCAGATTTCTCTTCGTTACCATCTTCAACGTGGGATTGTGGTCCTCGCCCAGAGTTACAAAGAGAATGAGATAAAAGAGAACTTACAGGTAACCAGGGAGGCAGTGGGCATAAGACTGCTATGTATCATCTCTCTTCTTACACATCTTCTTACACACCTCTCTTCTATTTTCTTCTTTGAAATCTCTCAGAGGATATTTTTGCTGAGACAATCTCCCCAGCATTTCCTATTTATGTGAGATCTCAATTACATTCAGAAATGTTTTCTTCTATTATGTAACACAATCAATGATATTAGATTTAAAGAGAGCACAGAAATTTAGGATTCAGACTTAAGTTAGCATGTACTGTGAGCACCTTCGCAATGGATTTATTCCTTGTTTGATGAAATGATAGTTTAGGGGTAGATATTTTCATATGATATATTTTTTGTGGCTTCATTTGTATTTGGCCTGCATATCCACATATTTTATTTATGTGTATTAATTTTGCTTAGGTGTATAGATGCTTTGGCTGCATACATGTCTGTGTACCATGTACAAGCTTGGTACCTTTAGAGGCCTGGAAATGGAGTTGTGGATGATGGGGAGCTGTTCTGTGTGACCTGGGACTCTAACCTGCTCTCTAAGGGCAGCTGCTGTCTAAACCACTGAGTCATCATCAGCATCATGCTCATGTATTTTAATATGGATGTACTTACCTTTTGAGTTGCTTTACTGGTTACGTGCATATTCTTACCTATGTTGATGATCTACTTTCAATGATGAGAACTTTGTTATATTACTACCTACAGCATTTACAAAATAAACTAGCCCCAAAAATATAGCTTTAATATAAAGAGTACTCATTGAGTTCATTATTCTATGACTTTTACAGTTTTCTAGAGTTCACTTAAGTATATTCACAGAATTGTTGTATATGTTTGCAAGATGATGAAGTTCATCTGCCTCAGGATACAGTTTGTCTATTACCTCACATTCTTTAGCTTCCCATAGTTTTCATCACTTAGTCAATTGGCATAGACTTCTTTTCTTCACATGTTCCTCCTGTTTTAAGACAATGGATATATACTTGAAAAGACTTTAAACCTCAAAAAATAATTATCATATCTTTTATTCTGTTAAGAGTTGTAGATGACTAAATGACTAAAGCTCTTGCCAAGGAAACATGGGGAGTGGAGTTTATATGCACAGAACTCATATAAAATTCCAGGTAGATGTGGTGTACTTTCTAATTAAGTTGTTGCATGCAGTAATAAGGCATTCCCAGAGTAAGCTGACTAGTGAAAATAGCCACATTGGTGATTTCTGGTCTGATGGACAGACCCTGTCTCAATGCCTCAATGAATAATTTACAAGAGCTATGATGATGAAGCCTGGTGTCAACCTCAGGCTTCCACATCTCTCTCTCTCTCTCTCTCTCTCTCTCACCCCCACACTCACACTCACCCCACACTCACACTCACACACACACACACACACACTCACTCACTCACTCACTCACAAGAGCCCTTACATATGCAAACATTAAAAACAAACATGGAGATAGAAAATGATAGAAATAGCTAAGATTAAAGGAATGATAATATGGAAACCGTCTTGTAGTAGAAGTAGGTGCAGATTTGCATGGAGTGTTAAGATAGGAAATACAAGTTGTAGTTAATTTGTAGCATTTATATCTTCACACTAATTACCTTTCAAATTCAGATACATTTATATATCCTAAATTCTGCTGTTTTCATACTTTTTCTCTTTCTCTATTGTGTTTAATTTCATGAGCAAAAGTTTTTCTTCTATTCCTTTACTTTGTGGTTTAATGTTATGTCCTTTTCCTCATTGGGAATAGAGGATATATATATTAAAGCATTACAGTATATCTTTCCAACCTAAACTGAAGTATAGTTTCTAAAATTATGTAAAATAAAAATTTAAAGAACACTTAAATAATTTTCTAAGTGGCTATGTGGTGTTCCCAGGAAGAATTATTATATTCATGGATTATCTTAATCATATTTATGCTCACCCATTTTCAAATTATATTGGAATATCAGTTTTGTGGAACAAAATAATAATCCTTTTGATCTACTTTCCCCTATTTAAAATATGACAAATTACCTCAACAGTGTGGCTTCTTAAACAAAACCTGGATAAGGGCAATGCCAATAGACACACCTACATGTAAGGCAGAAATCTTATAAGGGAACATAAAAAAGAACTACAGATAATTAAAGAATTCTAATGAGCTCAAGACCTGAAGAACTGATCTTCCTTAGGATGAGCTCCTTAACTGTTTATCCAATCCTAAATGGTTAGCCATGAAATCATATGCATATAAGCAACACCAAGTAGATTCAACAGGCTGTATTTGTGTGTGTGTGTGTGTGTGTGTGTGTGTGTGTGTGTGTGTAGAATAATAGAACAAAACAGATCATGTGTTTGGGAGAGAGTAGCAGGAAGACCTAAGAATTCTAGAGTTGAAAGCATGGATGAGATAACGCAATTCTATTTCACTAAAAAGTATAAAAAATTCTGGGAAGATAGTTTATGTATATTTATATATATAATAATTTCATCACTTATTATTGTTTACCTTGATTACATCTTTTAGTGTTAAAATATGTAAGCTTTCAGATAGGTGTTAAACTTGTCCATCAATTGAGGAAGAGCTGAAGTTTTGAAATATTAAGAATTTTAATATGTAACTAAAATAAGAATTTTCAATTTTAGGTTACTTTTTAATATATTAACTTTCTTAGTTTTTTCTATTAGGGCATTTGAATATATTCTGTTAGGTTTAGTGATACAGAAGTGGTTCTGCTTATCATCTTTTAATAATGTATTCTTTGTTATTTTGTTAGTTTTTAACATAAAGAAATGTTTACTCAGAGCTTTTTACTAGATGCATCAGTTGCTAGATTTTGGTACTTCAAGCTTTTTCTCCTTCCTCCCTCCTTCTCTCCATCCCTTCCTACCCCTTTTCCTGTCTTCTATTTATCACAGTTTTTGGAGAAATACAAAGGATTTGATAATCTATTTGTGTCATTATCTCAGTAATTAGTAAAGATTGTATTTATGTAAATTAACCCAAGGGCAGCCAGTGAAATCCTCAAGTCAAATCCTTTCTTTTTTGGAAATGATAAAATTAATAATTGAATAGTTTTTGCCGTAAATATGTTTCTATTCATGTAACTATGTGAATTTGTGAAGTATAGGGTTCAGAAATTTACTCTGGATTGTTTGGAAATTATCATTATGGTCTTTGAATAGTATCAACTCTGTATCTGCTATAGATCATTTTGATATATTGTACTGCTTCAACATATCTCAAAAGTGGTATCTTATGCCCATTGACCACTTGAGTATCTTGCTTGATTTTTAATAACTTGCAGAAATTTTTTGTATGTTAAAAAGTTGCCTTTGCAGAACAAAATGTGATTCACTTGAGTTATAAATATTTGCAAGAGGGCAGTGTCCTAAATTTTTTCTAATTGTTCAATAGGTGTTTGAATTTGAGCTGCCTTTAGAGGATATGAAACTCCTAGATGATCTGAACAGAAATTTAAGATATACACCTGCTCCATTGTAAGTCACTCTTATTAATTATGCCACAATTTATTTTAGGTTATGTCTTTTCCTTTTCAGTGAATGTTTGTTCATGGAACCAAACACTTCATTAGTGTTTGCCAGTAAGACACTTATTTTAACTCTTATTTTTCTAATTTCTTAATTATGTATATCTCAATATTGAAAATAGTTTATGCAGAAAGAGATTCAAGACTAAGGGAATATTACTTAGGAAAAAATCTCTATCACTGGTGAAATTGATAGTCTTAAAAATCTTTCCTCTTTCTTCTTTCTCAGTGGTTAATCTGATATGCTATACATATTTGAAATAAAGACACACTAGGAATATATAATGCCTCTTACTATGAAGATTGTAATTCACAAAGAAAGTAAATATAATAGGTTTTTAAATGGGTGCCATATATATATCCTCTTCATTAATAGAGTATTTTATTAATAGAACAAAATGAAGGATAAAGATGAGACATAATGTATGTTAGGAACTGGCAAACCTTTAGTAATCCTTGTCACCTATTAAATATTTTAGTTAGCTATAGTTTTGTCAGTTTATGTTTTATAATGGTGCTAAACTATAGAAACATACAAATTATACGATAAGCATGACTCTTAGACATATCTTATTAGAGACATTCTGAATGTAACACATTATGTTGCAGGAGATGGCAAGGAAATTAGTACATCTATGCTCTTTTCTCCACATTGTTTTGTGATGATTAATGTTTGCACTTTCATTAAATATGATATTCAGTTTCTGATTTTATTGAGAGGGTGAAATGGGACATAATCTTTCCTTATGTGCTTTGGCAGACTGAATATAGAAGCAAAAAGAAAGGACTGTGTGTTAATGTTTGTATTTTTCTGCTCTAGGCTAGGGAATTCAATTTGAAAAAAATCAGTTATGCTTTTTCAAAAACATTTCCTTCATTGTCAAATTTGTGAAAATGAAAATAGCAGATTTTGTAACCATTCAGGAAAATTAAGTGGTCAAGTCTAAAGATAGCATCATAGGTTTCTGCATTACTGCAGTAGAAATAAATCCAAGCATTAACATTTTGTTTTTCTTTTCTATTTTAGTGGTGAGGGCCACCCAGAATACCCATTTTCTGATGAATTTTAGTGTGAAGGCCTGTACCATGACTTCTATCCCAAGTCTAGAAGTCCCTCTATATGGATACTGATGTGGCTGACACTAGAGATGCTGTTAATGAAAATGTATCACTTCTGCTCCATCTGAACTGCTTAACAACTCAACTTCAGCTAGAACTGGACCCACCAGTCCACCATAACTCATTACACTTTCATTATGTTTTGAAATAACATTAAAGTTTCCTATAAAGGTCTTTCTTTAGCACTGTCTGTGTTTGTTGCCTGATTTGTTTTCTTTTGAATCTTTGAGAACAAAAATTATCTTCTGTAGAATCTGGGGGGAGTTTAGGAAATGATAATTTAAGGGGTTGTAGTGGGTGTAGACATTCTGCTCTAGCAAAGTTATAGGTAGCAGATATTTGTAAGAATGCTCATCTGGCCTGTGAGCCGAAAAGAAAACAGATTGCATGTAGTTCATGGTTCTCAGTCTGGAAGGTAAGGCATTCCTGGAAAGACTGACCAACCATGCCAGGGTTTCTTCACAGCATCTAAATCCCAGAGTCCTGGAATAGTGAGTAAGACATTCCAGGGAAAGTATTGGCTCATGAGGTAACAGGGTCATTGAGTGAGGTACTGACCTTTGGGTGTAGAAATATGTCATTAGGAGTTGCTATGTTCCTTTATTAGAACAATAGTACTAGGTTTCTCCCTAGTGCCCATGACCTATTTAATCTCAGGTTCTTGAGCTCATTAACTTGTTAGGTGTGGGTTGCATGATTTGGAGCATGCCTTAAATCTAATAAAGTGGGGCTGGTCTACATCCATAACATTTATGCCACTATTCCACCAGTATATCTTGCCAACAGGTCATCGTTGTAGGTTGCGGGGTTTGTAGATGAGTGATATTGATGTTTGCCTTTCTTCTCTGGTAGCATGAACAGTACTTTTTAGCACCATGAACACTAATCAGTAGGGCTGAAGCTTCTAGTTGGGCAGCAGATTTATTTCTCTACATTTGATGACATAAATAAATATTATCTTACTCACAAAGAGCCTGACTGTGTTTCACAGACCCTAGAGCATCTTATTTTCATAGTAGTAATAAAGTATGACTACAAGTACATGAAAATAGCAACAGCAAAACACCAAAAAAAAGTGTGGGGCTATGAAGTTTCACATACTCTCTTAGAAACATCGATGAGTTACTTAATATTTGCTAATTGACATTATACAGATTCTTGGAAACAGTCAAGTATCTACAAGAACAAAATAAAAAGCCAAATAAAATGAATGAGATTTCAGTTGGCAGGAACTTTTACTGTTTTTTTTCAGCTTTGCCAAACATGCTAGTGTGATCTTGATTGATAGGTCATGTCCATAGTTAACCAATTTCTTGCTTTAAAGTAGAGTAATTATCCTGGAAGTTACAATAACCTAGGCCTCTGGGCTGTCTAGTCTTTGGTTCTTGGTCACCTAAGCAGTGTAGTTTATGAATTGTATTTTGTGGAATGGGTCTTAAGTCAGATCAGAAATTTGTTGGTTACACTTGCACAAGCTTTGTGTCACCATTGCCCTAGCATATTTTGCATGCAGGAAACCGTTTTAGATGCAAGGTTTTGTATCTGGGTTGATGTTTACATTTTTATTTTGGGAGCCTGCAGAGTACCTTCCCTTATCAAAGACACTGGAATATAGGAGTGACGGCTCTATGTAGGTACCAGCTCAAACTCTCCATTTTCAATGTGTTGTATGGGTGTTATCTTCAGCAATGGGGCCTTAGTGTTAGTATATGCAGAACAACCGAGTACCCTGACAACATGTAGTATTGTTTGGGGATTTTCATGGGACTCTTTTTGTTAATATTTCAATTGGATGCGACCTAGTCCTAATACTAGAAGCTTCATTTGTGACAAGAGATGACCAGTTGGGACTCCATCTTACCCATTATTTGAAGACTTTATTAGCATCACCTTCATATATTTTTAAGAAGTTTCCACTGTTCTATGTTGTCATATCACACCTCCATTGCCCCTCAGTTCCAGCTGTCTTGCCCTTCATTCACTCTATCAACCCCATTTCCCCTCCCCCTTCCTACAACAGCCTCACATTCATATCCCCCTTGTTTCAACTCCACCAATAAGACCTATTCTATTTACCTCTCCCAAAGAGATCCATGTGTCCTATATATTCACTTCCTTTATACCTAACCCCTCAATGTCTACAGATTGTATCCTGGATATCATTTATTCAATGACTAATATCCACATAGAAGCAGAACTCACACCACATATATTTTTCTGGGTCTGAGAAACATCACTCAGGGTGATTTTTTTCCATATTCATCTATTTGCCTGAAATTTTCATGATGTCAGTTTTTAAAGAGCTGAGAAACACTTCATTGTGCAAATGAACCACATTTTCTTTGTCCATTCTTCTGTTGAGGGACATCTAGTTTGTTTCCAATTTCTAGCTTTTTTGAATAGAATAATAATGAACATGGTTGAGCAAGTGTCCTTATGGTAGGAAGAAGCATCATTGGGCATATGCCCAAGAGTGGTATTGAGGGATCATTAGGTAGATAAATTCCCATCTTTTGTGGAACTGCCACACTGATTTCCAGAGCATCTGCACTGCCACCAGCATTGGAAGAATGTTCCCATTGTTTCATAACCTACATAGCATGAGCTGTCACTTGTATTATTGATTTTAGTCATCCTTATAGGCTTAAGATGGAATCTCAAAACAGTTTTGATTTGCATTGCCGTAAGACTAAGGATGTTGAACATTTAAGTGTTTCTCAGCCATTGAGTTTTCTCTACTGAGAATTCTGTTTAGACCTATATCCCATTTTAAATTTAATTATTTAGATATTTATATATTTAGTTTCTTGAATATACATGTATATATATAGTATTAAATAGTAGTATTGGATATATGTCCTATATATAATTATTAATTATATATTATTATTAATCCTCTACCAGATGTAGAGTCCATGAAAATGTTTCCCATTATATAGGCAGCTACTTTGTCCTCTTTATGGTGTCCTTGGCTTTAAAGAAGCTTTTTGGTTTCATGAGGTTCCATTTATTAATTGTTAATCTTAGTGCCTACACTATTGGTGTTCTGTTCAGAAAGCCTTCTCCTGTGCCAATAGGTTTAAGACTATTTCCCACTTTCTATTTCTATGTTCATTGTACCTGGTTTTATGTTGAGATACTTAATCCATTTGCATTTCAGTTTTGTGCTGGGTGATAAGTACAGATCTATTTATATTCTTCTACACACAGACTAAAGTTTGACTAGTTCTATTTGTTAAAGATGCTATCTTTTTTCTAGTGTGAATTTTTTATTTCTTTATAAAAAGTCAGGTGACCTTAGTTGTGTGGAGTTTTGTGTGTATTTTAAATTTGAGTCCATTGAGAAATGCTTCTGTTTTATGCTAATAATAAGACTTTTTCTTTATTACTATAGCTCTGTAATGCACTTATCAGGAATTGTGGTACTCCCAGTAGTTCTTTTATTGATAAGAATTGTTTTAGTTCTCCTGGTTTTTAGTTTTTCCATATGAGACTGAGAATTGTTCTTTCAAGGTCTGTGAAGAATTGTATTAGAATTTTGATGGGGGACTACAATGCAACCATAGTTTGCTGTTGACAGGATGACCATTTTTACTATGTTAATCTTATGAATCTATGAGCATGGGAGATCTTTTCATCTTCTGATATCTTCTTCAATTTCTTTTCTCAAAAACTTGAAGTTTTTTTTATCATATAAGTCTTTCACTTGCTTGTTTGGAGTGACTTACCTCAATATATTTTATTAGAGACTACCATTTCTCTGATTTCTCCCTCAGTCAATTTGTCATTTGTATTTAAAAGGTCTACTGATTCTTTGAGTTAATTTTTTATCCAGCTTATTTGCTGAAAGTGTTTATCAGCTGTAAGAGTTCTCTGTTTGAATTTTTAGGAACACTCATGTATACTATCATTTCATTTGCAAATAAGGATACTTTGACTTTTATTTTCCAATTTGTATCCCCTTGATCTCCTTTAGCTGTCTTGTTGCTCTAGCTAATATATCAAGTACTATATTAAATAGATATGGAGAGAGTGGAAAACCACACCTTATTTCTAATTTAGTGGAATTGCTTTGAGTTTCTCTCTATTTAATTAGATGTTGACTATAGGCTTACATTTAGGGATGTTCCTTGTATCCCTATTATCTCTCACGAAGGGGTGTGGATTGTCAGAGGCCTTTTCTGCATATATTGAAATGATCATGCCCTTTTTTCTTTCTGTTTGCTAATATAGCAGTTTGCCTTTATTGATTTTCCTATATTGAGAGATCCCTGAATCTCTGGAATAAATACTGCCTGATCATGGTGGGTGATGCTTTTGAGGTATCCGTGGAGTTGGTTTGCAAATATTTTATTGAGAATTGTTTGTGTCAATGTTCATGAGGGATATAGATCTGTATTCATATTCTTTGTTGGTTATAGATGTGGTTTGGGTATCAGGGTAACTGTGGCCTCCTAAAAGGAATTTGGCAATGTTCCATCTGTTTTAATTTTGTGGAATAATTTGAAGAGTATTGGCATTAACTCTTCTTTGAAAGTAGTGTATAATTCAGCACTAAAACTGCCTAGCCTTGGCCTTTTTTGGTTGGATGAGTTTTAGTGACTACTTCTATTTAACAAGGGGTCTATTTAAATTGTATATCTGATATTGATTTAAGTTTTATAAGTGGTAAGTATCAAGGAAAATATCCATTTCTTTTAGATTTTTCAGTTTGGTAGAGTGAAGGTTTTTAAAGTCTGTCCTTTTCTTGTGTTCTACCATTGTCAGAATATTCAGATTCTGCTGTGGAAGGGTTGCTGGGCTCTAGTGGAGACATACTGTTCTGAATGTTACTGATTGTGTTTTTATGCTGGCATCTAGAAACCTGGGATTGGGAAGAGTATAGTTTTAGGTGCTGATATCTGGTCTTGTCTTTGTTGAGTGAGTTCCTTAGTTTCTGTTTCCCCTCTGGATTTTAGGAGAGTATAATGGTTGTATGTTGCCTGATAGGAAATTTTCTGTGATCTTGATGGGTGTGGCCATTGGTGGGTCTAGGCAATATGTGTCTCTGGGTATTGGGAGCTGAATGGGGATAGGCTAGGAGTCTCAAAGGATTCATGGGGTGGAAGAGCAGAATTTTCCAGCAGGATCTGCTTATTTAGTCTCCTTAGAATGGGAGTAGAGGGTAAAGAGAG